CAACGCCCTATGGCAAAAACCTTTTTTTAAAAATTTATTTTATTTATTTTTTTTTTTTTGGAGAGGTTTTTCATTATAGGGCGCGTGCGCTCACCAGACAGACAGAGAGAGACAGAGAGACAGAAAGTGAGAAATCACCCCTCAGGGGGTATGGTCACGTGGCAATCCCTTCTCCTCCATTCTTCTCTCGGGATCTTGGGCATGCACGCACACATGCCCGGCGTGAGTTTTAAGCCACCGGGTCTGGGACGCGAACCACTGTTGACTACGTGGGAGTCCAGCAACATAGCCATTAGGCTAACTGCTGACTCCCCCCAAAAATAATTTATTTTTGACATTAAAACGGGAATTTGCTCTTAACTATAGCTAGATGTTTTTGTGAACAAGTAATGTGTTATGTGACAATACCAGTTGAATCACCTCTTTTTTCCGATATGTATCTGATTTTAAAAGAAGCGTGGTGTGTAGAAATTAAAATTATTCAACTGACATAGACCTTTTTATATCTTATTAACATTTGAGTATAGTACTTCTAAGCTAAAGCTGATAGCATTCTTATAAATTACCATTTGTCTTTGTATTTACTTTTTATAAAGTAGAATTATTAGGAATAGAACATATTTTGTTATAGAACATTTCTTTTTTCACCCATTTGATTACATCAATGAAATTGCTCATTTTTAACTGAAAACAATAATAAAACTGGCATTTTCACAATTTCACTAAATCATCAAAGGACTATCACAGATAAATTACTCAAACACTGATGTAAATAGTAACAGATTTATACATATTTAACTTGAAGATTTTTGTTCAAACATAAATAAAAGCAACATATTTGTGAAGCAGTCTGCAGTAAATTGTAGCATAGCTGTAATATGAAAACTGGTTTTAACTTTTGCAAATTAATATTTTATTTAACATTTGAATTGCTTAAATTTATATAAGCTTTTTTTTATATTACCTTTCTGTTAGAATTCATTCTTGTACTTAATTAAATCTTTTTGGCAGTTTCCAGTTTCAAGAATTCCATGCATGTTCACAGACATCATTTTCCGTACTGTAAAGCATTTGTTTCTTGATTTGCTGAGTTGAAGCATTCAATTTAAGTCATTAGCTAAACAGAAGTCCTCAGTTTATGCTAATATTGTTTTGTCATAATGTCAATCAGCAAGTATTACAGAGTGACACAATGGCAGTGAATTTCATTGTCATTAATCTGAGAAAGCTTTGGGCTTCCCTTGGCAGAGCAGAGGTAGGCTGTGTCAAGGTTATGGAGGTGCAAATTTTACTAAGCTTGGTGGTTCATTTCACTTTTCTTTTCTCTCCTTTTTTTTTTTTAAGTTTACTTATTTATTTCTTCCATAAAAGTGGGGAATGGAAGCACTTCCAACAGGTCCTTGCACTGTGATGCACCCTCAGACAGTTAGGATCTTGGGCATGTACATATGTCCAGCATGTATGGTATGTCTATGGATGCAAACCAGGACCTTCCCACATGAGTCCAGCATTGCAAAGTGTTACAATACTGCCCCACCACCAGCTGGCTCCAGTTCTACTTTCCTTTGCAATATCCTTAGGTGCTATGTTAAGAATAACCCTACAATTATAGGCAGAAATGGATGCTAGACTGTATTTAAAAATAAGAAAGGTAAGAGTAAAGAGTTTGAGTAACTTACTTGAACACAGCGTGTCAGGGGGAACCTTGACTAGAAACCAATCTCTGCTGCTGTATACTTTCTCATGCTTCATATGCCACTGTTTAAAACAAGAAGGGGGCTGGCCTTGTGACATAGTTGTTAAGGAGCTTGACCCCACATGGCTGACAGCGGTTCAAATCGGGCTGGCCTTGTGACATAGTTGTTAAGGAGCTCGACCCCACATGGCTGACAGCAGTTCAAATCCTGCTTGAAAAACAGCTGGTCACAGATTTGTGTATGTCCCAGATCTTGACAGTTTGGAGAAGGGGAGAAAGGATTATTGCATGATCACACCCCATTATGGAGGTGCTTACTGTCTGTCTGTCTCTAAAAAGCACACATGCCCTTTAGAAATTATATGTAAAAATATATACACACACACACATATATAAATATATACATATGTATACATATTTATATACACACACACATATATACATATATATATATATATAGTATGAGAGAGAGAGAGAGAGACAGTATGTGTGTATGTTTGTATCTTTCCAAAGAGTAATTGTGTATTACAGTTTTACAGTGGATATTATAGAAATACCTAACCTTGAAGTCAGAAGATCAAGATGCTAGTTTCTTCTGCATTACAGATGACAGTTTTTAAAATATCACCAAGTTTATAAACCAGAGATTACCTGTACTAGCAGATAAAAGGGAACCGTATTGACAGCGTGTCTGGTAGTAGAGTTTAACATATTAAGAAATTCAAGATAAATTCATGTCCTATATGCAAATTGTGTATCTAATTTTTTTATATTCTCAGGTTATTCATGTTCTATTCTTCAAGCTTTTTGTTTCTTTTTTGGGGGGAGGTGAGAAGTTTTTGCTATAGGGCACGTGTGTTCACCACAAAGACAGAGACGGAGAGACAGAAAGTGAGAAATCACCCCCCCAGGGGGATGGCCATGCCACAATCCCTTCTCCTCCATTCTCCTCTCGGGATCTTGGGCATGCACACACTCGTGCCCGGCATGAATTTAAGTCCCTGGGTCCAGGACCCAAACTGTGGTCGACTACATGGGAGTCCAGCGACATAGCCATTACGCTAACTGCTGGCCCCCTATTCTTCAAGCTTTAACAAACATCTCAGTATTCCAAGAACACTTTTTTCCTTTCATTTGCTATTTTCCTACACTGTTTACTTCTGAAACATACATATTCACCATACTAAAAATGGTATGATGGTATACCATTAAAGTTGCAGTGAGTATAATTTATAACAGTGTTTTAGCTCTATGACTATAGTGTGTATCATAGTTAAAGATATAGAGTAGCGGCTAGCTGGTGGCATGGTGATAAAGGCAGCTGGATCACACATGACCAACTGCATGTATCCAATCCCAGACCCAGCAGTTTTAACAAAACTATACCAGGACATGTGTGCATATATTCCCAGAGTCCCAAGAGGAAAATAGAGAGGAGGGAATTGTGGTGTGGCCATTACCCGTGAGGGTTGCTTTCCCATTCCCTACTCCAGTCTCTGTGGCAAGTGCACACACCATACAGAAAAAAATTGTTAATTAAAATAATAAGGAATATAAATAAAAGCCTAGTCTGAAAGTTTATTTTTATATAAGAATTTACTAAGGATATGTAGTGCATTCTCGTGTTTAGCTAATGATAAAAAGATACTTTGGCAGGATCTTTCTTATTATGCTAAGTTACTCATTCTTTGAAATTACTCTAAGACTGCTTACCCTTTTCTGCTTAATAAGATCACCAAGGTAAATTTAATATTAAACAATATTATATTCAGTTTTGGTTTGGAATATATGTGTACATTTGTTTGCACATAGAAAAAGGGAAAGTCCTAACTGGTCGATTTTATTTTCTTTTTAATTTATGGCATGCTGGATTGTAATTTCATACGTTGTTTAGCTCTGAGGGCCAACATCCTTTTTCCTTCCCCAGAGGCTCTTGGAACTTTGAATTTCAAGTGGTCTTGATTCATTATGCCTTTAAGATAGGAAATAGAAAATGTACCAATTTCTTGTTTTTTCCAGAGTAGTCATTGCTGATATTTAGATATACATTATGTTAGAATGAATGTCCTCTGGCATATGTGTGCACATAAATGATTTGGTAGTTTAAAATTTTCACTGTCCTGTTCATATTCTCATGATTACTTGAACATGAGAAGGAAGCGTTAACTTATTAGCAGTGGTCATCTTCATGTTAGCTTTACAGTGAATGGAATGGCTTCTGCAAAGTCTGGACCCTAGTCCCTCAGAGCATACCAGGAGAGGCATTAGAGTTACTAATGTGACTGCTGCTGGCTATATCAGTCCTGCTTCTAGCTTCCCGTGCCACACAACTACAGGGCTCACACCCCCTAATCAAGGTGGGAGGGGAAGAGGTGCTGACACCTGTCCACATATCCTAATCTGATAAGATCAGGCTGCCTATTGTGGGCTCTGATGATATCAGAAGTAGGGCAGTGCTTCCCTACCAGAAGGGAATGCAGAATGCAGTGTGATGCAGAGTATGATAGTGCAACAGAGGACCTCTATACTCGCTACGAATCCTGACTCTATGGGTTCTACTTCAGCACACACAGTTGGCAAACCTGATGCATCTGCTTCTTGACCGTTTACATGTGTTTGCACAAGAAGCTAGAAACAGAACTTCCATGTTTTAAAATTATTTACCTAATAGGTTCTTAAGGAATGATGCCCTAATGAGATACCATGCACGTCTACAAGAAGCTTGTTTGCTGAGAGCAAGAGAAATTAAGTAGTAGTCCTTGCGGATTCTAAGACACAGAGATTTCTGAGTTGCTAATCCTATTTTAAACATAGTATCTATTTAGATATCATAACATTTATTAAAACCTTTTACATGCCTTCTACCAACTGCTAAATTTAAAAGTGAGTTTTTTCACGCATCCAACATGCCTAGGCAACAAATATCAAGAATATAGGAATCTCAACTAGTTTTAATGTCATTTTTAAAAAGTGTGTATATTTAAATCAAAGGTGTTTTTAAAATATTATTTCACACCTCTTCATCTCATAACTTATTAATTTTATGGACTAGAAAAATATTTTTTAACTCTTGGGTAAAGCATACTTACTGTAAGTAAGGTTTCTGTATTTTGGTATATTATGGGAGTTTAATAATATGAAACTGAAAATATGGGCAGAATTTATGCTTTTAAAACTCTGATAACTGGGACCATCAGATGGAATAATGTTTTTATCACTGGACTCCCACATAGTTGACCGCGCTTCAAGTCTCAGTCCTGGCAACTTAAAACACACTAAGCACTGTGCATACATGTACAAAATCCCTAGAGGAGAATGGAGGAGAAGCTATTGTGTGGCCATCTCATAGGGGGTGATTTCTCATTCTCTTTCTCTCTAGCAAGTACATGTGCCCTATAGCAAAAAATCTCTCTTAAAATAAATAAATAATACTCTGATAACTATAGATCTCTATAGGTAGTATTTGATGCATTTCAATAATTAAAATGTGAGTCAATCTGTGTCTTTACAATGAATGGAAAATCATGTTTGCAAAAGCTTTTATTTATTGTGGTTCTCAGGTCTTTTTCTGGAAAATGTCATTCAGAGAAATGTAAAGGGTAATTAATTATGTGAGTAGACAGTAAAACAGTAGGGGCAGCTAAATATGTCTTCTCTTATCATCATATATTCCTGTTAACAGAAATCCAGAGAAACCAGGTATTTCCTCATTATCTTAATGGAATTATTGCTTAACAAAAGCAATCGACAGCATTGGATAAAACTATCTTAAAAGGTTGCTCTAAGTTACTTATGTAGAATTCTCTATATTTGTTTAACGATCGTGTGTGTGTGTGTGTGTGTGTGTGTGTGTGTGTGGAAAAGAGTTATTTGCTATGGTTCTTAAGTGTGCCTTTTAATATTAGCATACTCTTATCTATAAATAGTTAAGTTCTGCCTCTCAACAGGTATTTAGAAACACTGATAGAAATTCTTTAATATATTTTAGTAATACTTTTCTCATTTTAATGTCAGGTCTTCAAACAGGAACTAGCTTACCTATTGACTGGAATTCTTGGAACAGCAATAGATTATTGGATCTTCCTTGGTCTTAAGATGGGTAGAAATGTGATGCGACACATGTCTGATGACCTAGGAAGTTATATTTCCCTCTCATGTGATGGTAAGTATGTCTGTAGTTTTCTTAAACCCATTGTGGAAATTAGTTCTGAGTTCCTTTAAACAGTCCATATTTTTAACATAGGTTCCTGTGAAACTTTCTTTAAAATAGTAATGGATACATACACAAACAAATACATAACCACAGGCGCTATCAAGAAGAAGATAAAATTTACACGTAATTCTCCCACAGTGATAACTGTTAAGCTTTTAATGTCTTTCTAGGCATTTTTATGTTGTTGAACTGATATTGTATGTGATTTTGTGTTTTATTTTTTCTATAGACATTATGG